TGGGGTACCTCAGGGATCTGTACTTGGACCCATTCTCTTTAATATTTTTATTAGTGATATTGCAGAAGGTCTTGATGGTAAGGTATGTCTTTTTGCTGATGATACTAAGATATGTAACAGGGTTGATGTTCCAGAAAGGATAAGCCAAATGGCAAATGATTTAGGTAAACTAGAAAAATGGTCAGAATTGTGGCAACTGACATTTAATGTGGATAAGTGCAAGATAATGCATCTTGGACGTAAAAACCCAAGGGCAGAGTACATAATATTTGATAGAGTCTTAACCTCAACATATGAGGAAAGGGATTTAGGGGTGATTATTTCTGATGACTTAAAGGTAGGCAGACAATGTAATAGAGCAGCAGGAAATGCTAGCAGAATGCTTGGTTGTATAGGGAGAGGTATTAGCAGTAGAAAGAGGGAAGTGCTCATGCCATTGTACAGAACACTGGTGAGACCTCACTTGGAGTATTGTACACAGTACTGGAGACCGTATCTTCAGAAGGATATTGATACCTTAGAGAGGGTTCAGAGAAGGGCTACTAAACTGGTTCATGGATTGCGGGATAAAACTTACCAGGAAAGGTTAAAGGATCTTAACATGTATAGCTTGGAGGAAAGACGAGACAGGGGGGATATGATAGAAACATTTAAATATATAAAGGGAATCAACACAGTAAAGGAGGAGACTATATTTAAAAGAAGAAAAACTACCACAACAAGAGGACATAGTCTTAAATGAGAGGGACAAAGGTTTAAAAATAATATCAGGAAGTATTACTTTACTGAGAGGGTAGTGGATGCATGGAATAGCCTTCCAGCTGAAGTGGTAGAGGTTAACACAGTAAAGGAGTTTAAGCATGCGTGGGATAGGCATAAGGCTATCCTAACTATAAGATAAGGCTAGGGACTAATGAAAGTATTTAGATAATTGGGCAGACTAGATGGGCCGATTGGTTCTTATCTGCCGTCACATTCTATGTTTCTATGTTCACTCATATTTTGCTGGGCTTCTGAGCACAGAGTGCATATGGGCCAACTTCAAGTGTTCATCTTCAGCCAATCTCATCTGATATTTTTTATTCTTCAACAAATTCAGTCATTTTAAAAGTGAGTGGAAAAACAGGACATTGATGGCTAGATCCTTAAATGTTAGCTGTAAATTGAGTGATAATGGTAATTTTTACAAACATTTTTATACAAGTGCAATGTATAATTGCCAGTAATTATGCCGACAATTATGGAGGTAGATTGTATCGATACGAACAGACTGCAAGTGTGTCTCGTCAAGGCATGTAGCTCTCCAGAACGCAGTCAGGCGATAAATATATATTTAAATACCATTACGTCATTCAATTTGCAATTATCTTGTTTTGTGTATTTATTATATATTCCTAGAACCTCATTTTGAAGCACTTTCCATTCTAGGTGTATAAATATTGTTTTAGATTGTTCCAGTGATTGAGCATTTTTAACAGACTAATATTACAGTTTGTCACAACTGGGGACGCGGAGAGATCGGATTTAAATTCATTCTGACAGAGGGCACCGGTTCAGCGTCGGATCTGTTTGGATTTCCAGGAGGAAATGAAACTGTGTTTCAAATCATATCTCAGCTCAGTTCATATAAATTAGATTTATAACCGGAATCCCTGTGTTGTTTTTGTTTCTTATGAGTAATAATAAAATGATTTTGCGGTAAAACATAACAAATTCTATTCTTCCCAATGAATTTGAAGTGGAGTTTATGGTATTGCCTTACTTGGTGTGACCAAAATTTAACACACTCTTCTCCTGTAAATTGAAAGACCTGTCTCCTGACACATATGAGTGAATACAGCAGATTCTGAATAAAATATTCAAGTATCTGGCAAATTAAATAATCGTGACTAATCAAATCTGAGAGCCAGAGGGTCATATTGAGTAATTTAATAATTTATGTAATAGTTCTTCTATAGCGTTCTTATCCAGAGCACTTTTCAATTTATGCAAAAATAAAATTGATAGATATACAAATATATACAATTATTTAGAATGGAGACAAAGAGTTGGCTAATAAGAAGTAAGAAGTAAGGAGGGCCCCTACAGAGACGGTAAGGTAGCATTGTAAAAAAAAAAGTGATTACTGTAGATGAGATGGACCAAGTTGGGAAATATGCCTGGAATCAACTTGCATTTGTATGGAAGAGATACATCTGGAAGACAGGAAGGACACACTGCTGAGGATCAGGGAATAATGGGAGAGTGGTACAGCCACATGTTCAGCTGTAAGGGATGAGTGATGGATTGGTTTAGGAAGTACCCGGGAAGTAAAGAGGTCTGTGTTTGTCTTTAGAATTTTGTGGAAAGGTGATAGAGAGGTGGCAGATTGGATGTGGGGAGGGAGCTTGTTCCATTGGTAGGGAATTGTGATAATCACTTGTTGCCCTAGAGGCTTCTGTGTTTCACTCAGTTCTGGAGGAGGAAGTGCCTTTAGTGGCTGTCAGGAAGGAACACTATCAGACAGGGCCGGACTGGGAGAAAAATTCGGCCCGGGCATTTTTTTAACACAGCGGCCCACTAAAAAGGGGGCGGGGCAGAGGAGGTGTGTTTTGTCATCACCAATGACAAACACGCCTCCTCTCAAAGTGAGCATGTTGGTTCAATGCTCTTCCAGGGCAGACCATGCGCAGAGCTCTGCTGAAGAGCTCTAGCATGAGAAAAAAGTCCTGTATTTGTTATGCACAGTGCAAGCAAATTTAATAACATGCTTGCACTGTGTTTCCTTGCAACTTGTCTCTGGTGTCTTTATAAATGGATACCAGGAGACAAAAGGCCAGGAAAGAGTATTGTGCATGTGTTTGGAGCCTGCTTGTGGTATTGCGTGTGTGTAGAGTGAGCTGGTCGTGGTGTGGTATTGTGTAATAAGGTCGGTTTTAGTCGTGTTGTGTTTGTGGTGTAATGTGATGCATATGTGGCTCAGGGACCCCCTCCCGCCCGGCTCTGGAAAGGGGTTAAAACTTACCTTTTTCCAGCGCCGGGCGGGGAGCTCTCCTCCTCCGATCCGCCCCGTCGGCTGAATGCGCATGCGCGGCAAGAGCTGCGCGCGCATTCAGCCGGTCGCATAGGAAAGCATTTATAATGCTTCCCTATGGACGCTTGCGTGCTCTCACTGTGATTTTCACAGTGAAAAGCACGCAAGCGCCTCTAGCGGCTGTCAATGAGACAGCTGCTAGAGGCTTTGGGGGAAGGCTTAACCCATTGATAAACATAGCAGTTTCTCTGAAACTGCTATGTTTATAAAACAATGGGTTAACCCTAGAAGGACCTGGCACCAAGACCACTTCATTAAGCTGAAGTGGTCTGGGTGGCTAGAGTGGTCCTTTAAGAGTGTAGTGTAGTGTAGTGTGTGTGTGTGTGTGTGTGTGTGTGTATATATATATATATATATTTGGAAGTATTGTGTATGTGTGTGGTGCAGTGTGTTGGGGGGGTTCTGTGTGTATGTGAGGGGTGCAGTATGTGTGTATGTGAGGGGTGCAGTATGTGTGTGTGTGTGTGAGGGGTGCGGTGTGTGAGAGTGCCGTGTGAGAGTGCCGTGTGTGTGTGTGAGAGTGCTGTGTGTGTGATGGGTGTGAGAGTGCTGTGAGCGTGATGGGTGTGAGAGTGCTGTGTGAGATGGGTGTGAGAGTGCTGTGTGAGAGAGTGCTGTGTGTGATGGGTGTGAGAGAGTGCTGTGTGTGATGGGTGTGAGAGAGTGCTGTGTGTGATGGGTGTGAGAGTGCTGTATAAATGTTATTGTGTGTGTGTGTAGGGGGGGTAAATAAAACAAAAACAAACAGTCATTATGTCCCCCCCTCCCTTCTTACCTTTAGCCTGGGAGGGGGGGGACCGGCATGCTGGTGCCTGGGAGGCCGGGAGACAGTGTTCCCTGGTGGTCCTCGTGGGTGAGTGATCTCTAGCCTGTGAGGCTAGAGTTCACTCTCGCGAGATCCGGCCGTTGCCATGGCAACGCGCCGGATCTCGCGAGAGGAACCCAGCGGAGCTGCAAGTTAGAGCTCCGCCGGGTCCTCTCTCCAGCCTGGCTGTCTCCCTCTCTCCCCGCCGGCGGCCGCATGTGGGCCCGTCAGGGAGATCCTTGATCTCCCCACCGGCCCGTCGTGGCACAAAGCGGGGCCGGCGCTAGGAGAGTGCCGGCCCTGCATAGACCGGCAGGGGAGATCCTGGGACCTCCCCTGCCGGCCTCGGCCCATGGCCACCGCGGCCCACCGGGCATTTGCCCGGTGTGCCCGATGGCCAGTCCGGGCCTGCTATCAGAACTATACTAATGTAAGAACCTAATGCGTTGTTAAGTATGCTCCACAAAAGAACAACAGAGGAAGTTAAACCACCAATAAACATAGTCACATAGAAATACATGTATAAACATACATATACCTACATACGTACCTGCCTATGTCATTGGCATAGCAGTAATCATAACATGTAAAGGTGCCACAACTGGATGCCCATGCACCTGTCTGTCGACAAATGATCAAGTCACAATCGGCAACCAGGACCGCCAATAGGCAGACAGAACCCTTCTACTGGACCTGGTCAAGTTCAGGGGCGAGCATAGGGCCCTCTAGCGCTTATTGGTCTGGCTGGGGAGATAGTTATATCTCCCTGAACCATACTGTAAATGCCGACAGCAACAGAGGGGCTTCGCAGATGATTCAATTTTACTGATATCATAGATATCAGTTCCTCCCAGTGTCACCATAGAGCTGTTCTAACTGGCAGCTGATGAACTGATTTGGGCAATGTGTACAGAAAGGCAAAAATTTGGAAAGTTATATTGTTGCCACCATTTCTCACACTGCCCTGCAGCAAAATGTAAGGAAGCTGGAACTCATGGCATGTGAGGTAGGACTGTCTGGGGGGATAAAATGGTAAGGGGATACTTATTGTTGGTCTGGCTTTGTGTCTGTTTGACAGTAGGTGTGTGTATCTATTGTGAGTGTATTTGTTTGACTGTGTGTTGATGTGACAGGGTGTATGTGTCTAACTGTGTGTGAGTTTGTATATCTGCTTGTGTTTCTGACAGTGTGTGTGTATGTCTGGCTGTGTGTCTTTTTGACAGTGTGTGTGTGTGTGTACCTTTGTGTATCTGATTGTGTGTCTTTGAGACAGTGTGAGTGTCTAACTATGTGTGTAAGTGTATATGTCTGGCTGTGTGTCTAATACAGTGTGCATGGGTCTGTGTGCATGTCTATGTGTGTATTTGTTTGACTGTGTGTTGGTGTGACAGTGTGTATGTGTCTAACTGTGTGTGAGTTTGTATATCTGCTTGTGTTTCTGACAGAGTGTGTGTATGTCTGGCTGTGTGTCTTTTTGACAGTGTGTTTGTGTGTCTTTGTGACAGTGTGAGTGTCTAACTATGTGTGTAAGTGTATATGTCTGGCTGTGTGTCTAATACAGTGTGCATGGGTCTGTGTGCATGTCTATGTGTGTGTTTGTTTGATGTTATCTGTGTGTGTGGCATGTGTGTCTGACAACAGGAATCTGTGTGTGTGTTTTTAACATTGTGTAACTATGTATGTGACTGTGTGTGTGCATGTCATTGTGTATTTGTGTCTGGCAATGTGTATTTGTGTATTCTGAAAAACTGTGTGTGGCAAAGAGTATCTAGGTGAAGGCACCCGGCCAATATATTTTTAAGGGGCCCTACATTTTTTATGGCAGTCCTGTCTGCAACTCTTAGCATTCACCTGCAAACTAAGAATTGTGAAAGGTGGTTTATTTCATATGGAGGCAGGATGTTTGTGCGCAAAGCAGATCCATATCGTCAAAGATACCTTGTCAAAGAAAATGTGTAGGAAACTGTCTTCAGCGAGGTATGTCATTTAATCAATACATTGTGCTGACTTTTACACAGACACACACACACAAAATATTTCTTGGGGCGTTGGAGTTGGGAGTTATACAGATGTGGGACAATCTGCGTTTTGGGCTGGCGTACTGTATTAATGATCCAAGGTCTAAGTCGGCAGGAAGATGACAATCACTTTAATCCATGGCTATAATATCTGCTGGATTTAATATTTCCTACAAAGGTGCTGCACGGATTATGCATTTTATCCACACATAATGGCTGGGAGTAAAATATACTGGCTTGTTTTCATCAATTTCACTGTTTTTATCCACCAACTGATGCTTGCGTAAGGATAACTGCGCTCACTATACTGTAATTTTCTAAATCAGTAATGCTTTTTGTCAAAGCTTTTAGGCCTCCTTAGTTGTGAAATAGAGAATAATTTGCATGTCAGTTTTTTCTCTGTATATTTTAATAAAGATTATGGCCGCTACCTGCGTATTTGTTGATAACAGAGTATTGTATGCGGTTACGAAAGAAAGTGTGCCATTGCTTATAAATCACAGCCACACGGTCATTCTCACTGCTCTACGTTATGCAGCCTTGCCATTGACTGCTTTCATTATTAGAATAGCCGCTGTGCCAGCAAGTTTGCCATTATAAATATTCTGGTTCTTGCTTTCAAATCTCTTCATAATGCTGCTCCCACCTATCTATCCTCCCTTATACACAAGTATGTCCCATCTAGGCCCTTACGCTCTGCTGAAGACTTACGTCTATCTTCTGTCCATACTCCCACCTCTGATGCTCGCCTTCAAGATTTCTCGAGGGCTGCACCGTTCCAGGGGAACTCACTTCCCTCCTCCGTTAGATGCTCACCCAGTCTCCATTCCTTCAAAAAAATCATTAAAAACCCACTTCTTCATAAAAGCGTATCAATTAAACTGTTGATAGCTCCCGACTGATTCCTCTCTTGCAACTGTCACTAGTCTAATACTATCCTTACCTTTTGTGTCATTTTACCCCACTCCCTCTAGCATGTAAGCTCATTGAGCAGGGCCCTCAACCCCTCTATTCCTGTGTGTCCAACTCGTCTGTTTACAGCTACATGTCTGTTCGTCCACCCACTGTAAAGTGCTGCAGAATTTGTTGGCGCTATTTAAATAATAACATAATAATAATAATAAATAATAATTTGACCAGTGTGCTCAGCAAGCGGGCCTAGCACATCTCACAATGCATTCCAACAGTGCTGCTTTGCTACAGTGTTCACAATTTACACAATTTGGGGGTAAAAGTCTCGGACATACTCATCTATGGAGTCTGTAACAGAAATGTTATGGAGTTACTCAAAAAAAACATGCAGTGTACTCTCTACAAACCCCTGCCCCCTTCTCTACAAACTCTCTACAAACTCCTGCTCCTCCCCACAAGTCCCTGCAACACCTCTCTACAAACCCTGCTCTCCCCACAATTCCCTGACCCCTCTCTCTACAATCCCCGCTTCCCCACAATCACTGCCCCCTTTCTACAAACCCCCGACAAAACCCCTGCTCCCCCACAAGTACCTGACCCCCTTTCTCTACAAACCCCTGCTCCCCCCCAACAAATCCCTGCTCTCACCACGAACCCCCTGTCTAGTCCCTTACAGTTGTATCCCGAAAACACAGTTTATGACAGGCATGACGCCTGCTTGCTGCTCACTGCTGCTAAGCGTACTGCCACCACGAAGCCGCCCGCACTCGGTGTCTGAGACTCAGACCAGATGGAATACGTCGGCTGCGCACTCCTCCTCCACGTGAGTAAGTAGTGCTGCTTGGCTGTGGCTGGATGGCACCCCCCTAACAAGTGGCACCCGGGGCAAACCCCCCTCCCCCAGTTAGTACACCACTGCCTAATAATATAGTGTCCCTTTGCCCCCACCTTGGTCCCCCACTCCTTGTAGCACAGTGAGAGGACATCCAGCGTTGTTAAACTTAGTAAAACAGCAAGAAACACCTCCAGAGGCTGTCCAGAGACAGTCACTAGAGACAGTCATAACCATGCAATGTAAACAATGCAGTTTCTGTGAAAAATGCAGTGTTTTCACTTGCAGCGTTAAGGGGACAGGGACACTGCACCCAGACCACATCAGTGGGATGAAGTGGTCTGGGTGCTTATAGTGTCCCTTAAAATCTTTTTTTTTTTTTTTTAAAGGCAAATTCTGTATTTTTTTACTACTAACCTTTAATTGAACTATACAAATGTATGGTGTCACTTTATAAATAATCAAATTAATCATTCTATCAAATTGATAGATTAATAGCTATTTAACATTTTAAAAGCTTGACCTTCTAGGACACTGCCTTACAGCAGAGGCACAGCAGTAAAGACTACTTATAGGTCCAGAGCAGATAAACACAGAGGCACTGCACCTAAATTCCTCTAAAAATATATTCGGGATTGGGATGGAAGGAGTGCTCCATTGAGGGGACATTGTCAGTGACACTAATGTGTCACTAGCAATGCCTATAATGGGCAGGTCTACCCACTGAAAAACATGTATTCCTGACCCTATAATTATTATTTTATTATTATTTTATTATTTACATAGCGCCATCACATTCCGTAGTGCTGTACAATGGGTGGACTAACAGACATGTAATTGTAACCAGACAACTGAACGTACAAGAACAGAGAAGTGGAGCTTACATTCTATAGTATTAAAACACCATCTGGCCCTCCTGGCCGCCCCTTGCCCCCCTGAATATAGCAAAATCTTACCTTTATTCCAGTCTGCTGCTGCTTGCACTGCCCCTGATCAGCTTGTTTTGCTGACATAATCAAAAGTGGTGTTCTGAGCCAGTAACAATGCTTCCCCATATGATTGGCTGAGACTGACAAAGAGGCAGATCAGGGGCAGAGCCAGCACAATTCAAACACAGCTCTGGCCAATCAGCATCAATGAATCAATGCATCTCTAAGAGGAAAGTTCAGTGTCTCCAACAAGAGGGTGAATGTCAGTCACACCGTGCAGCACTGCCCCAGAAAGCACCTCAAGTAGCCATATGAGGAGTGACCAGTAGAGGTGTCCCTACGCTGTAATGTAAACACTGCATTTTCTCTGAAAAGACAGTTCAATATTTTGCCGATAAATGCTTAGCAAGACATCCTCTTCCAGACTATCCTCTCATCAATTCTGCAACCAACATTTTTCAAAGGGGTTTCTTCACTAATCTGTGATTTATGGCAAGTTGCCAACAGACTCACAACACTTAATAAAATAACAGAATTAGAAATAAGACTATCCAATTCAAATGAGAAGGTGGTTTGTTTCTGAAACTCAGCTGTTTGTGCCTACGTTTTGGAGCCAGGCTGTCAATATTCAATGCAAATCGCTGTTTAGCAGGCATAACCCTAAATAATTTAATAAACTATCTGGGCTGATTTCACAGCTCTTAGATCCTTGCCAGTATAGCATCAACTAACATGGCAGAAAAGCAAGAGTCTCAATGTGATCTACACATAATCATTAAAAAAAACAAGCTGAGTCAATTACTGAATGAACGAAATGGATCTTTCATTAAAAAAAACATTCAGAATATTATTGGAGATATTATAATATATACAGATGTGTTCTCATAGAAGGCAGTAAATATCATATCCCTCTAGAGGGTTAAGAGAAGTTAGGTACAGTTAAAAACTGTGCTGGAATTTTAATCAACGCGAGCCGTGTTTGCCGGGCTGTGATCCCCCATCTAGCTCCCAATAATCTGTCTCTAAGTGCACATCTTCATTTAATGGACCTGAAATTTGGAACATTTTCTGTCTGTTTCATTTGCAGCATTAAAATTAAAATAAAAGGAGTAACAATGGATCTTCCTACAACCTTCTGGGCTTTGAAACCAAGCAAACATTCAGATTTAACAGAAATCGTCCAAATAAAAGGGAATTTGTCTGCCTCTTTTGTAGCAAAGCAATGATAATGCTCCATTCAAGGTGGGTAAGGTGGTGACAATAGTCCTATTTTCATGCCCTGGATTATTTCATGTTAGTAGAGGTAGTTTTAGAAGACTATGTTGCAAGTTATACAAAGATTTTTTTTGCGTGATATACGGCGGAGATCATTCCATGTGATATAGAAGGGATTTTTGCATGTTTACTAAGGAAAACAAAATTGTATGTGATGCATAGAGTGCCCTTGCATGTTATATACAGACAGTCCTTGCATGTTATTTACAGTCTCTCCTTGCATGTTATGTATAAACTATTCTTTCATATTATTTAGTCTCTCCTTGCATGTTATCTATAAACTATTCTTTCATGTTATTTACAGGCTGTCCTTGCATGATATACATAGACAGTCCTTTCATTTTATATATTATTGTTATTATTATTATTATTATTATATTGTTATTATTTATATAGCGACAACAAATTCTGAAGCTGTACAGTGGGATACAGACTTCTCATGCATGTTATATACAGACTGTCCTTGCATGTTATTTACAGACTG